TTTATAGCATACCAATTTCGAAACTTTTTACTCCGGGCTTTTTGGAACATTCTCTCCTTATCAAAAAAATGGCCATTATGCTACCAACTTTTTTTCTAGGTATTCTACAGATATTGTATTTTAGTTTTTTTGTTTTTAATTGTTTGTATATCTCTGAAGTTGGACGTTTTTGACATTTTTTTCTCTATCAATAATATTTATTCATCGTCGGGGACATCCTCATCGGACTCGGAATCTAATAAGAAATCATCAAACCTAACACTTGCTAGTGCTTCTAATTATAATTTATCTGTTTTGGGTATCTAACGTATTAATGTGTTGACAAAAGAAAGCTGAAGCTATTGTGAACCATAGACTTTATTATACAAATGGTGTATAAGGTCAACCAAAATCTGCCATGATGGCCTACTCAAAATTATAAAACTGTATCATAAAAAACGATAACAAACTTACAATTGAAATACAAACAAATATATGTTGTTTTTGATCCGTTTCGTAATTATTATGAAAGGTACAAATAATATCACTTCGAGTTTGCCATTTCAGGTTGAAGAACCTGGCAAGGTTATGAAATTGAGATTCGTAAGTTATATTATTATGAAAAAAGTCATAATTATTTGAGAAATTTCGATAAACTAAAATGTAACTTGAAAGTTACATGGGCCATAAAGGATTAATATTAATATTTTGTAGAAACGATTTACGTTTAAACGATTAATTTATTTTTTCAGTTTGCGCTTTTGCTTTTTGAATTATCGAAGGATGGCGAGGATGTACAAGCCGTACAAGCGTAACACATCATAAATATGTATTGTTTTTAAACAGAAAAGTTTGATAAAGAATATATAACTTCATCAGCTAAGGGTTTTACAATAATATTATATATATGTATTGTATTTATAGGTATATTTTTATAAGTAGCTTCCTGAGCTCCAAAAGTTTGTGGATAAAAATCATCCCGAATAATTTGCAACAGTTCGAGCATGAGAGTTGCTCAACGAAACATGCCTCAACTCATTCACGCAATATCACGAAAGGACGAGAAAAACAATAATTAACTTCACGCAGGGTAAGTTATAGTAATCGCAAAAAAATCGAAAATAATTTTTTTTTATATCTTTATGTTTCAGAGGTTTCTGACATTTTGGCATACGTTATTGTTAGAAAAAAATGGATGTATATGTGTGTGTATGCGGATACAAATTTTCGTCGACGATTTCGGGAACACCGATCAATAGATTTGAATAATTCAAAAACATTCGATTTGTATTGATAAGGGGGGGACGTGCTGATTAGTTTTGGCGAAGGCAGGTCTAGCCGTTCCGAAGATACGGAGCAGAAAGTGCCAAAAACGGTAACTCAGTTTTAAGAGAACGGAGCGTCCGATTTTAATAATTCAAAAAACAATTTAATTGTATTGACAAGATGAAGAACTGATTGAATTTTTGGAAAGGCAGATGCAGCGGTTATGGACTCTCAATAAAAATAAGTTTAAAAATGTCATTTGGCGGTCATAAATGTTTATTGTACATATGTACATCAAATTATCAGATATTTTATAGAGATTTTAATAATGTGCACACATTTTGTGTAATTTTTGTTGGGTTCCGTACAAAGATTTTTAATTACGGTACAGGAGGTTCCGGCAATTGCCAGGCACGATGCCATGCATTCCACTAGTAAAGTTATTAATTAGTAAATTTATTTGAAAAGACAAAAAAATTAATAAAAACCACAGAGCTTTGGGAATTAATGGCATTTCAATGTATTTATATAAAAAAAAAATTGTTACGGAAACTCGTATTTCGTCAACGCACCACTCACTGTACCTTATGCTTATTAACTTCCCGTAGGGTAAGTTATTGTAATGGACCGAAAATCGGAATTGAAAATTTTTACATTTCTCGACGTTTTGAAGGTTTCTGAACGTTTTGGCATACCTCAGAAAAAATGGATGTGTGTGTGTGTATGTATGTATGGATACAATTTTTCGTCACGTTTTCGGGCGTACGGATCAACCGATTTGAATGGTTCAAAAAACATTCGATTTCTATTGATAGGGAAAAGAGCTGATAGTTTTTGGCGAAGGCAGGTCCAGCCGTTTCGGAGATACGGAGCAACGAGTGCAGAAAATAGAAATCGACTTTTTGAGAGAACGGAGTATCCGATTTGAATGATCTAAAAAACATTCAATTAGTAATGATTGGGAGAAGTGTTTATTAGTTTTTGGCAAAGGCAGGCCCAGCCACTTCGAAGATACGGAGCTAAATATGTAAAAAAATGGCAGTTTTTGAGAGAACTAAGCGTCCGATTTAAATGATTCAAAAACTTTCTGCTTGTCTTAACAAAATAATTGATTTTGGAAAAAAAATTGTTTTTTTTTTTTCAAAAAAAATTTTTTTTTGTATATCGAAAATAATTCATTCAATTTTAAACAAATAATTTCAACTTTGCAATTCAGTTTATTTAATTCTTATAAATATTAGACAATGTTTAAAATATTATTTTTTTTTTTAATTTCAATAATTATTACAAGTGTTAAATAATTAACATCTAGTAATATTGATAAATAATAACATAAATTTAAATAAATAAGAGTGCAAAGGATAGAATTTACATGAAAATAATATCCGTAATATGATGATTTAATATATAATAGAAGCAAATAATAATAAAAATAAAATTAATGAATAATATAAATAAAATTCTGATTTTTATGTTACAATATTAATAATAATCTATTTGAAAACATTCAGTATTCCTCGAACATTTCGTTACGGTACGGGAAGTTCCTGCAATTTGCCTTAAGGCACGATGCCATACACCCCACTAGTTAGTAAATTTATTTTGAAAAGACAAAAAAACTTTAAGAAAAACCACAGAGCTTTGGGAATTAATGGCATTTCAAAGTATTTATAAAAAAAAATTGCTTGTTACGGAAACTTGTATGTCGTCAACGCAACACTCGTACCTCTTTTATCTGCACGTACATCGGCCTGCTTCGACCCTGTCGAAATCTTTGTATCCTTGGCAACGCACATGGTATAAATCCAAGGCGCAAACCGACGATCACGTGGTCTGTACTGTTTGATTGTTACCAAACTTATACTTAACTTATACTTATACTTGTTTATCTATGATTGTTACCATGCCGCTGGTGATCTGTCACTTGTCAAATTTGCTTTGCTGAAATGTGGTCGCATTTGGTGAAATCGTAAACGGAAAACTGGTCGTTCGAGCAGTAATCCACAAGTTAATGAACGGTTTGATACTGTCGCAGGTGAATAATATCATAAGCCCAAAGTAAATAAACGTGGAATATTTATGAATTAATACTCAAGTCTAGATATCAGGTATTTAAATAATTTATATTCTTTTAGAATGATGCCATTCGTTTATAAGATTTTAAGATCTAAGAGTAAAGTAAATAAATTTTTGGCTCTAGAATATTCGACCAGAATTCTGTACGTTCAATTTTTTTCACTATACTCTACAAATACATTTTCAGTGAATATTGCACCTGATTAAATTTACAATTTACAGAATGTCTTATGAAAATCACCCTGTTTTGTTGAGGGTTTTGGCCCATTCAGTTGCAATAGCTGACATGGCTGGCACATTAATCAGAAATGTGTTAAAAGCAGGAGAATTAGGAGTCGTACATAAGGTATAATTTTATTCATATCTATTGTTTTCTTTTTAGTTGTATATTTTACATTATCTAGGGTAAAGATGATCCACAAACAGAGGCTGATCGTTCAGCACAAAGGTGTATAATGGCATCATTATTGAAATCATTTCCTGATCTGACTGTTATAGGAGAAGAGGGTCAATTAAACTTGAATGTAAGATGTCTTAATTAACTTCATTCTTATAAAAAACAATATTTATAGAGGTATGTTTTACAGATACCTGAAGAATGGATAGTGACAACAGGCGCTCAGGATGTTTTAGAAAGAAAGTGCCTGCCAGAACATTCCTCAATTCAAGAAAAGGATATAGTAGTATGGGTTGATCCACTGGATGGCACTCAAGAATTTACAAAAGGTAAAATATTAATTGCACGTTCATTTATATATACATATACATGTGTTTAATAATAATAATAATAATATATATATATATATATATATATATATATATATATGTTTAAATCGTGTTAAAAAGTCGGGTGTAACATCAATAAAAATAGTATGAGAGTTTTTTAAAAGTTTAAAATCCATATGTTTTGGCTAGCATCTTAGCCTTCATTCAGTGGTAATCAATTTAACTATAAAAATTAAAACTAAATAAATAATATGCAGAAAAACAATAATAATAATAAAACACTTACAATTTTGTATCCTAATATAACATGAAACCATTATTAATCCATGGTATGAGTATGTGCACATTGATAAAATATATATTTTTTAACATCAGAAAAACACTAATAACCATGATAACTTAACAAGTTGTCGAAACTATGTATTTATTGTTTGGAGTTTAAGATAGAAATGTAACATTTTTCTTAAAGCAGTTTTTTAGCATGTATTCACATTTACGGGAAATTTAAAAAGCGATGGGATCTTGTCATTTTTTAAGAAATTTTGACATGCTATTAAGGAACCATGTGTTAGTCTCGTTATATAATTGTAAAAACAACCCCTCAGCGAATTTTTTTTTAATTATGTTCTCTTCAAAATGTAAAATTTTAGAATTGAAAAAAGTATATTATGGTTTAATTTAATGTGCTCAGTTAACATCGTCTTAAATTGCTTCGGATTTTTTGAGTTATTTTTATGTTTGTGAAAGCGTTTACTCAGGTTTTGGCCAGTTTCTCCGATATAAAAAAGTTCGCAATTAGAGAATTAATCTGGTATACCAAGTTCCTGAGGCGGTCAGAATTAAACTTAGATTTAATTTGTGTAAAAATTGAACTAAAGGTTGTATCGCAATTACATACCCACAAAATGCCACATTGTTGAAACAGTTTTTTCCACGAAGAAAAAAAAATATATATATAATATATATACAAGTTTATATTTTACCTGTGTTTCATAGTTGTGAACATTTTTTTGTGTTTTTTAGTATAGTTTACATTTTGTTTGTTTGTTTGTTTATTTGTTCAACCTTAGCTTTTCGTTCTGCCTTTTTTCTTTTTTACAATATAAATGTTTTCAATTTTCTTCGACGGCGATTTTGTCACTTTCTTGATTCAGAATCCTCTCCAAAATAATTCAAGTATTTTAATTGATATTCACCATAAAGCAAATAGGATGATTTATAAGATTTGAATATAATAAATTTTTGAAGGTAAAAGGTTACTGCCATATTAAATACTAAAGAAATAACAGTATTATGATTGCTTCATTAAAGGTAATTTGGATAATGTAACAGTACTAATAGGAATAGCAGTTGACGGTAAAGCTATTGGAGGAGTGATTCATCAACCATTTTTTGAGAATAGCAAAGGTCGCACAATTTGGGGTTTGAGAGGAATAGGCTTCAGTGGCATTACTTTAAGCAATCGTCTACAGAACAAGTATTTCACCTTCAGATTTTCATGCTTATAACGATAGACACATTTACAGTTTTTTTTTTCAGATTAGTAATTACCACTTCACGGTCTCACACTGACTCTAATGTGATAGCAGCAATAAACGAATTACAACCAGACGAAGTCTTACATGTCGGAGGTGCAGGATTTAAGGTAGATTTTAATACATATTGTGTTTTTATTAATTTTTATCACATATTTCTATATTTATATGAAGTTTCAATGATACGAAGCTAAAAACTTTTTTCAATATTGCAATTGCACAATGGAATTAAATTAAGCTTTAACACTGATGTTGACTTGATAATAATGATATTAGCCATTATGATTAAAACCTGAATCAATAAGGTTTTAGGTGAAAGAAATATTCTAATTCAAAGACATATGTAAGATTTATTAGTATAAAGGTCATATAGTCCACAAACTTTTTTTTCCTGTTGTATGTAAAGAATTTATTTCAACACACATTGAAAAATTTTTTTTGCACTTTGGTTGTAACTCGAAAATATTTAATACATTTTATGCTCTTTTATATTTACTAGGTCATACAGTTACTTGATGGAAGCGCAAATGCGTATGTATTTGCTAGTCCAGGGTGTAAGAAATGGGATACCTGTGCACCTGAAGCTATATTAGAAATAGCAGGAGGAATGCTGACTGATGTATTCGGGAACAAATATGTTTATGACAAAGATGTTCAATATCCTAACTCTAAGGGTGTGATTGCCACAGCACCTTGTTTGAACCACACCGATCTTATCAATAAAATGTCCCAGGAAATAAAATCTAAGTTAATGAATTAGCTAATAATGATGTAATATAATTAAATATATATATATATATATATATGTATGTATACACTTGTAAATTTTGTTGAATATTTTGTTTCAATATACGTTTACTGTTATCAAAAATGATTGAACCTTGACAATCCATTAACATTCCCATTGTTTTAAAATTGCAGGTTGTTCATTGTTTTCTTAAACATACTGTTCAAGTTATTAAACTAGAACAGTATAGATCAAAATAAATTAAAATTGAATTGAATCTGCACTAAATATATTTCAAATGGCCTTTGAGATTACTATTATTATTATTAATAACTTACATCAAATGCTCAATCTGAAATTTTTTTTAATGCATATGGTTTTTGCTCTTTTACCCTGTATTAAAACTAATTGAATTTAATTAATACTATTTCAAATATTTGTGCAAGATCTATTTTTGATCATCTCAATTACTACCAATGAAGGAATTTTCAGATTTCAGATTTCAGAAAGCGCATGTTCAAAAGAAATGATTTAAAAATATTTCTTTCAAAATCATAAATTTTATTAAATACTTCAGTTTAGTTTTAATTTGTATTTTTCAATACATTTTCAATTTTTCTATAGTTAGTTTTAGGTAAATTGTGAGTAATTTCTTGATAATTTTAATGAAACTTTGTGTAATGATCAAGTTCATAGTCATAGTGAACATCCTAAAACATTGCAGACTAAATAAAATAAATATATAAATTCAAATAAAAAATAATACATAAATACTAGTATAATTTTTTTTTTTTATATTTCATCACTCAGTTTTTTTACAAATAATGTGTGATAATCTATTGACGATACATTTTACAAAGAAAACGCAACTGCAACATTTCTACTTGGTCTTTCATTCTGATAACTCCATCAGGACCATCAGATGACAACAATATCCCTACCGATTCACGATGTACGCCCATTATAACCTTGACATAATCATTAATTGCAGGTTGAACTGGTTCTAAATGATCACATTCTATATTCACAGAACGATCTTCAGCTGGCAAAAACACTGTGCACATTCCTCCTTGTAACCCTTTGATGACACCAGTTTGATTAGCTAGTCCTCTGTCTGGATGACTATCGCTAATGCGAACCTCAATATCTGTTGTATGCCAGTCAGACCCAGAAAGTGAATCCAAACTAGCTCCAGGAGTTTGTGGATTATATGGTGATTGCGGTGCACCTGCTGGGGTACCAGGTGAGTATGATGTAGGTGAGGGTGTGCCCATATACGTGCTGGCTTGATACCCTGAAGGGCTTGGGCTTGGTTGATATGGACTATAACTATCAGATCCATACATGATTGATCCTGGTGTTTGGGGAGTATAAGGGCCTGATTGATATACGCCTGGAGTATTAGGATTGAAAGGACTGGGAGAACTCTCGTCCAAATAAGAAGATTCAAAATCATTACTTCGAGCAGGTGTATTTGTAATATTAGCATCCCATGCTCCTTGTCCAGGTGTTTGACTTCCATCGTGTGAAGGTGTCATAGAACCATAGTGGGGAGTTCGAGATCCAGAGTTGTATACAGGAGTATATGAACCAAGCATTGGTGTACGACCTTCTCTATTATATTGTGGAGTTTGAAAGCCATAAGCAGGTGTGCGACCAGGTGTACGGCCATATGTGGAAAATCCACCTTCCTTTGCAGGTGCTCCAACTTTTGCAATGTGTCCTCTATCGACTGATATGGTCTGACATGAAGCATGCAATTCAACACGAGCAGTACTTTCAGTTGCATCTTTGACAATTCCAACATTGCCTTGTAAGGTCCACCAGTAATTTTAATAGTTGTACCAATTATATCCCGGTCTCTAGTGACTCTATTAGCACCTCCACGCCTCTTCCGCGACCACCCCCTCCGCCACCTCTTCCAGATGGATGCATTGGAGACTGTATTCTAGGTGACATAAAACCTAAGCCATTCAATCCTGTTGCGTTTGCATTACTATGACGTGCTCCACCTGCTAATTGTACATGTCTTGTTTTGCATACAAAAATACCACCATTATCTAAATACATTCTTGAATATAGAAAAACATAATTTCTGTACAAATGTTTTATTTCACCATCTCGACCAGCATGTGGGCCATCACACACCTTCACTATGTCTCTCTTTGATATGCTATTTTGATCAGTATCTAATGCAACTGTAAAACGATTTTCTTTTCGTTTTTGTAGAGCTTGCGGTTTGCATTCCATCAATTTTCCATTCATTCCTAATACATGAAAGTTTTCTCTTTCTAATCGAACAATTACTCCTACATTCATAGCATCTAACTGCACTAAATCACCCCATTGAAACTGCCCTAATGAATCAACACCAGTAGCCATATCTGAGCACAGCTGTAAATCTCTTGGAAGAACTTCTAATTCATGCATTGTCAAATCAGATACCAAAACAACCCTTGTAGTATCCACACGAACTATAAGCCCTGTTTCCCCTTCATAACGACCAGCCAAAACTTTCACATGATCACCTGTTTTAAAAAACTTTCTTAATTCATTAGCTTTGAAAATTAAGGGATCCGTTAGTTCAGAATGTTTTGGTAGAACTGTAATCATAGAACCATCGATAGCAATAATTTTACATGGTAAGTTCTCCAAGTCACCCACAGCCACCTCAACATTATCGCCCATGGAAAATGAGTGCAAACTGTTGGGATCATCTTTAGAAGGAGCTGCTAATTCAATATCAATACCCTCGGGTTGCTCTTCAAATCGCTCCAATTCAGAAAGTGTAGGCTTAACACCTTCAGCAAGAATCGCAGACATTGTAAAATTTTTAAACATAAAACCTTTTCGTGAAAAACGATTTCCTTCAAATATTAAAAAATCACCATCTGATGTAACTTCACCACCAATAGCTCTAATAGCTTCAGGATCAAAAGGTTTTGCAACCGGCCTTCTTTTCTTTTTCGTTTTGCAGCCTCTGAATCACTTTGCACAGTACGTAGAGCACCTCGCAATCTAGTATAATCAATCCTAGGCAATAATTTCAAATGCACATTGTTCTGAGCCAAATCTATATAGTCCACCTGTGCTATGTCATCCTTATACAACCCTCGCTTTAGTCTAACCCACTGCTTAGGTTTCAATCCTGTTTGCTCTCTGACAACTCTCAAGACATCCGTCATTTCTTTAATAGGAACCATTTCTTGTTTCCAAGTGCCCATTCTCAAATTCCCAACATTATCGATAGCTGCTTTTACATGAGTCTGTTTATAAGATTCTATGTAAATGTAACCTTTTACTCCTTCTGGAGCAATTACAGATTTTATCTGCAATGGTGCATCACTATTTTGGTAGGCAATAAACTTACGCATAAGTAATAAAACTGTAGCCTTTTCTTCGCCAATTCGACATTTAACCATCCATAAATTGGGATCTTTAATTCCTGGCAGAAGAGTTTGTTGAGTTATTTCATCAGACATTTCCTCACCTCCGTCACCAAAAGAACGAACCGCAAGTGTTTCATCAGCATATTTCTTCTTCAAATATTCTTCAATCTCGTCCTCTTTCTGTGAATCCCACAAATTAGTTCCTCGTCGCCTTCCTTCAATCTCACGGGCTGTAGGACCTAATTCATCAACTTCATTCCCAACAATACCCATTTCTTGAGCTCCTTCTTCCCACTCATCATCTTCATCAACTTCATCATCCACTTCAGCTTCGTCTATAATAAATCCACTAAATCTATCCTTCTTTTTTTTCTTTCGAGGTCTATCATCATCTTCATCCTCTTCCTCTTCTTCATCATATTCTTCTGAATCTAAATCTTCTCCTTCAGGTTCTTGTTCATCCGCTACTTCTTCATCACCGGATGCTTCCCTAGCCTCATCATCACGGTTTCCATTCCTATTATGTTCCACATCAGAACCTGAGCCTGAATTTGAATGAGATGATCTTGAACGAGATCTACTTCTTGAAATCGATCTAGAGATTGATCTTGACCTCTTTTTCCTTTTTGAATGATTAGATTCGACACTGCCCACTTCTGAACCTGAGTCAGAGTAATGACTTTCTTCTGAATCAGACATTTTGGTCTTTTTTTTCGATTACACAAATAAGTTGTGTAAAGTGTCCTTTATTTATTTCTTTTTGAATTACTCTTACCTGCCATAAAATAAAAAAATATCACTGTTTAAATATCAGTGTTTATCATATTATTTTTAATATATAACATAATGTTAATGAAACTTAATTTTTAGTTTCATATATAAACAATTACCTCAAAATTAATTGCAAACTGCGTTAATTCATACAAAATAATAAACTTAATTTATTTATATAAATCATAAACTTAATTTATTATAATAATGCAACATTCATGCAAATAATATATAAATGATTTCAAAAAATTACCAATGTATTTAAACGAAATTTTGTTTGATCAGCATGGATTCATGTCATTCATTCGTAAAAACTTATATTCGTTATAACGAATTCCATAATTAAACAGAGTTCAAACACATTACCTAAGTTAAAAAATATGTTGTTCAACGCTTAATCGAAACAAATTTTATTTTTCTAACATTTGACAATTACTAAGAAACTATAAAATCAACCATTCAATAAAGCCGATGACGTTTGCCGTAGCAAACAATTCCTGGGATATGAAACCGCGTAAAATGAAATCTTTAAGCTATGGCCGACGCCCGAGTAGTGTCGCAACGATAGCCAACAAAACATAAAACCATAGATAAAAGAAGAGTATCATAAAGAGTAGCATAAAGAAGAGTATATGCATAAAACCTAAATTCATAGATAAAAGAAGAATAGAGCCTAAATTATATTACTTATATTACCTAAATTATGTTTACTTATCTATGCTTATATATATATATATGATTTAGTAGTTAATTTTGATGTTGAAATATATGAGTGAGTTCTTGAGGGCGATACATCAAACAAAGAAAAGCCAAAGATTTATAAAATAATTTTTATTTCCAAACGTTTCGACATTCAATTTAATGTCATCATCA